ACTAGTGACAGACTTCCAAGTAGATCCTGTGTCACTGATTACAATCCCCTGGGATCTGCCATTCAGCCAGCCCTCCATCCACCTCACTGTGCACTCATCCAGTCCACACTTCCTGAGTTTGCCTTTGAGAATATTGTGAGAGACAGTGTTGAAAACCTTGCTGGACTCAAGGATATTAATTTAAATATTTTGTTTGGTAAGTTCTTCAATTGAGAACTTGGTTTAACTAACTTTAATGATGAATGTATAAATCTCTCAAATGAAAAAAGTTAGAATGGAAACTTAAAAGCTGTACTGTGAATCACAGTTATCATATATTATAGCTGTGCTGTTGCAAGAATGTGATTCTTGCTTGATTCCTAAATAATTTGCTTGTCCCAAGCTGACGCTGCAGCTGCTTACTGTTACTGTTGAATCATAACTGACTTTTTGTTACAGTCCTTTGTGCTACAGAGGTGATTTCTAAAGTGCCAGCAGTGTGCTCTGAACAGCACGCCACCCTATCCATTTGCACCCTGCTCACGACAAAACATAGCTGTTACCTAACTGATTCTCCTTGGTTCTTTAACCTGCCTGCTAACTGAATATAAAAAATTCATGGACCACTCTAAGAAACTCCCAAATACTGTTTGCAGCTGGAAAAAATAAGACCAAACTAGTCACAGTATTAAAGGAAGCTCTGTCAAAAATGCAAATATGGTCAGAGCACCAGATGGTCTAGCTACAGTAATTTTCTTTGAAGATCCCTTCTGAATCCACACAAAAAGGCTGAACAAATGGTTCAGGTAGGAGTCTAAACCCTAACCCTTTATCAGTTGAATTCCTGAACCCAAACTCATGCAAGTTCCAATTCAATGAAACCGTGTAATGACAGAAATGTCATTGTGTTTGTGCCTGCTAAGTCAGAGGACCACTGTGTTCTGGGATCCCACATCCTGGCATACAGGGATGAATTCAACTTAAGGTTAGGATTCACTACGCTGCTGGGTTAGCATCCAGCTTGAATTTCAGTGGGATTGCCTTTCCCCTCAGAAAGGCCTAATGTACTAATATTTTGTAATTAATGCTAAAATGCTGTGGAAAAAATCTGCAAACAAAATCCTGTGGATATATTTTGAAACTGAGTTCATCTCTGCATATCCTACAGAAGAGTGAGATTTTATTGATGTATTTCTTATGGCTTTTATAGAATCACAAGTAGAAAAAGAAACAACCAAAAAGCAAATAGGAAAATAAAGAAAATAAATAATAAACTGAGATACACCTAAAAGAAAATGCAAATAATATTCCAAAGTCTAATTTCTTAAGTAACTACCTAAGAGAAAATGGCTTAGTTAGAATTGTTAAAAAGGAAGCAATAATTAAAAATAGCACAAAGCAACTAAAATAATCCAGTACAACAATTAAGAAGTTTTTAGGACTTGCATACGACTTTGAGACTTGGGGGATCTGCTTTCTAAACATGCCTTTCCTAAAACAAACAGGTAAATCTAGTTATTAGTCACTGCAGTTTTGTGCGGAGGTTTGGAATGAATGAATAATTATTTGGTGCTTCCAGGTTATAGAGTGGAATTGGTGTTGACATCTGTGTGTCTATTTATATTTCTTTATTTGCAATTGCATGTAAATTGAACATTGACTGCTTTTGGCAAGCAGCAACATCCTGAGACATCTCCAGACAAAAATATTTGCCTTTTTTTCTGCATTTGATTGTCAGAATCTGTTTTATAAATCTGCTATGCATGTTTACAGCTTTCTTTACTTTTACTCTGCACCACCAAACTACATTATTAAGTGTTTCACATGTGTATGGTTTTCAATTTATGGGGGGTGTGGCAGCAGCAAATTATGCATAAGCTTTGCAGACCTTGAACAATAGATAAGAAGGACATAGAAAACCGATGTCATGATACATAGTGTGTGGTACACTAATAGCTATTTAGTGATGGGGAGGCAGAACAAAGTTTTTGATGGGTCTCTCATTTCCTAAAGCATATGTGATCCTCATGCCAGGTCACAGCTCACTAAAAAGATATCTAGGTTGTAATAGAAGGTTAACTTTGTTCATAAAATCTTAAGTGTACGACGGAGTCAGAAACTTTTTCTTGTAATTAAACAAGATAAGTTTCACAGACAGCTTGCTAATCAAGCAAGCGTCAGTAAAAATAATTGCAGACATCTTGCTAAACAAACAAGTATCAGTATTGGTGGAATTTACAACTGATAAAAACTACAGCTTTCATCCTTGACAAACTCCAGAAGGCAGAAAACTACCTAGCAACAAGCCAGGAACTCGCAGCCATAATGCATTTGCATTCAAAACCTGGGACTTGAAAATGTATAAAAAGGGACATTTACTACATTTCGATGTGGGTCTCGGGCGGGGCACTTGCTCCCCAGACCACCCAGCGTTGTCTTTGCTTTATTATCGCTTGCTTAATAAATTTATCAATGTTTAGTTGGAATTGAGTTGTCTAAATTCTTATACTAATTTATAACATAGTTTAGTCAAGTGTTACATAGCTGGCTGAAACTGTGTGTTGAAAGTTGCTGGTAAAAGATAAAGACAGGTGAAATCCCAAGGGAAGGTAAAATGCTCACTTTTAGGATTATTTGTTAAAGGGCAAACATAAGCTGAAACAGCTTGAAAGGAAACCCATGGCATGATTTGGGCTATGCCTGAATTTGTGCAGAAGCTCTGCTCTCTTCCTGATTCCAGTCCCCATATCCCTCGTGCTGGTGCTGTAGGATAGGATGGGAAAAATCTGTCAATCCTTAACGCAGAACCTGCACAAGGGGAAATTCTCCCTTGATTAAAGAAGGGCATTTCCAATCATTTATACAATCACAGCTGGGCTTTCTAGGGCTCACTCCTTTGTGAACTGCATCTCTTGCATGCTCCTTTAAACAGCAGAAGATGGGAAACGATTAGTAAAAACTTTTGTGGAAACTATTTAGTGGTGAAAAGTACCGCTTTTGGCAGTGGGGATAATACTTCCAGATATGCTTGAGTGTGTTATTCATTATATGTTTGAACTAGAGGGAAATTTTAGATAAAATACTCATATGGTGTAGACAGCTGAAATATCCAGGCCACTCCCGTGCATATTTCCCTAGTATTATTTTGGCTAACAGCTCCATTTGGGGCATTTTATTTAAAACACAAGTGGTATTTATCAAAGGGATTGACACACCGAAGATTAATCTGTCCTTGATTTTCTTTTCTGGCTTGGATGAGAGAAAGAGAATATTTTTAGGCTTAAAACTACACACAATTGGATGGGTCAGGGACAAAACTCTCTACCTTGGCTTCTTATTGAGATAGCCCCAAACACGAAAACATATAGATGCTCTTGTGCCCTAGGCAGCCTCCATACAATACAAGAATATTGTACTTGAAAGATGCTGTGAATCTGAGAATTCAGAGTTTCTTTTAGTGATAAATTTACACAAATTACTGAAGTGTCATGTTTTAGACTGACACAACACAGAAAAAACTACCCATTATTTGAATGGGAAGGATAAGACCCACCACTAGATCTTTCCCCACAGGATATAGGGTGGTCTGTGCATTGGCAGAGATATAATTTTTATAACTGGGAATGTTTTTCAGTAATACTTCGTGAGTGATTTATTGAAATCAAGCTAAAACAAATAGTACTGCTCCAGGCTGTGGCTACCCAGTCGTTCTAAGCACTCAAAGTGCCACCATGAAAGCCAGTTAAATGCTGAACTGCACAAGATGTTAGTAGTCCAAATAGAAATTACTGCATTTTGCTCCTACAGGTAATGCATGAGACAGCATATTCTCTAATTAGATACTATGTGCTGTAATAAAAAAACAAACAGAGAATGAGGTTTGAATTTCTTACTTTAAGTTGTGTGTGATTTTTGCAGGGGATACCATAAATAGAGCAGTTTAATTCAGGCAGTCCAAAAATCTGGACAGTGCAACTCGGATAGCACACAGAGCTATACTGAGGGAAGATATTAATCTCAAAATTTAGTTTTTGTCCCCACCACTAATCCCATTACTGAATTGTGTGATGGTCTTTTAAAGGCAAAACCTTCTTTCTGTCTAGACAGCTGTCAGGCAGGTAGCACAGGTGGCCTCCTTTTGCTGCTGCAGTTAGTACAGCAAGCCTTGTCCTGTGGTGCTGAAACCACGGATATATCTCTCCCTTAAAGCAAGAAATTCATTCTTTTATTCATACCACATTTTCATTATTAAGAAAAAATACGATTCATAAAATATTACCCTATGGCAATATGCAGACTTTAATATTAATGTCATTTTATTAAAAAAAAATTCCTCTAAAACAGAAAAGATTAAACTCAAGCATGAATAAATACCAGTATCTGCCTGGAAGCTACATCTGTGCCCTTCATCTTCCATCTTTTGACATCCTGTGAACATCTCCAGAAAGTTATAGAACATTTTCTCTTGAGCAAAAAGCCCCTCATGGATATGGATGTTTTCAGCAGTCTTTGAGTAATGTCTAGAGGTCTTGTAATTTCTCACTCTCACAGCTCCAAGCTGGCTGTATTCCACAATCAGGTTTTACACAATAATCAGACAGTCACTCAAATCATTGTTACTCAGTCCTTTTGCCTCAGAAAACATCCCTTCCATGAGATTCAGCCTGTTCTGCTGACTGATAAGAAAATGTGCATTCACATTGGTCCTGCTTATAAAAACTATGACTGACAACACTGTGTAGTCTGAGAACTGCAAGCCTTAGGTTATTCCTAGGTTCTTTTGAATCAGCATGAAACATCCTTCTGTGCTGAGACGTCCAACCCTATAATTTTAAGCTTCCATTTTATTCCTGGCAATCTTATCTCTGAAAGGCAGAAAACTGCAGTAATTGCACATCTCATTTCAGAAAAATAAAGAAACATTCATTTTCCATTGTAATGGTTTACTGGAAACTGGTTCACGGGAAATGAAGAGACTGATGATGACTGAAAATGAAAACCAGCAACACCCAATTACTCACCCGTGCTAGGCTGGTTCCAGAAGGGACTTTATATGGGACATACTTCCTGTAGATATGTCCAACTCGAGAGCATGGAACATCATACATGCCACCTCCACACATCCACACCTGAAAAGGAGACAGAAAGCAAGTGAAAGAATGATTCCTGGAAAAAAATGAGGCAAAAAAAAAGCATTTTAAGTAATGTGTATGTGAAAATGACACATCATTCTGTACTGACCCCTCTGACATGGTTGCCTCCTTGGCATGCTGGTAGGTGGGATGTGGTAACATGGTAGATTCTCCTAACCTGAATCTCACTGTACAAAAGCAGTGTATGTTCAAAATAAAATTATAAAACACATTTGGATTAGAATAGAATGTTTTGGGTTGGGTTGGAATGGTCTTTAAAGATTATCTACTTCCAACCCAGTCCAGTATCCACCAATGGTCCTCCTGCAACACAATCAAGACGTTACTGTATCTGTTGTTCAAAACCTACAAGATCAAAATTTTAAAAGAAGGCTATGTGATTAAAGCAAACCATCAGTCAGAAGTAATATTTTTTCCAAAACACATGGCTTATATTTTGAGTAGTGAATACAGAGCTCAAATGCTCTTCATTACGTAAAGATGCTTTTCATTTTGTAAAGAAAAGGGAACAAAAATCAATATCCTTCTGATCTAATTTATGCAGGCAGAGAAAGAACATGCTACTACGTTTCATCATTAACACTTTAAAACTGAAAGAGACAGAACAATCTGGAGTACACAGGTCTGATGCTTCAGGTCTGAGCAACCAAAGCTCAGTCAAAACTGGTGGGGGCTGTAAGCAAATACTTCGCAGCCCTAAAAATCAAGCTGTATCCTGATGGGCAGCAAGTAATGAATTTTTCACAATTCTTCACCTAGAATGACTAGGCTTTATCAAGCGTATGTGAGAGCAAGGTTGTCTGCCATGGACATGATTTTCTATCCTACAGCAATGCAGAGCTCTAACACAGTTATTAGATGACTTATGTAGCATTCTGACAACATTTATAAAGAAAAGCAATTTGACTTTGCAAATCAGGGAGATGTAAAACAATAACCCCCCAACCAGCACCTTTTATCCTAAAACCACACAACAAAAATTTGAAATTAATTCATAATGAAAACATGAGTATTATAAAAATTATTTCCTAATCCTGGAAAACTAATTTTTTTTTTCCCCTCACAAATTTAGAACAGAATGACTGTTATTCCATGTGAGGGACACTTGGTCTCAGCTTTCAGCCTTTCGACTGAAAACAAAAAATAAAATCCCAACCCCTTCCCACCCAATTAAAACAACAATCGCACCAAAACTGAGAAAGAGAGAGGACTTTTCCTTTCTGTGTCTCTTCATGAGGACATACATAAAGATGCTTCACTAAACATCTCCATGACTTTGGATGAGAATTTAGGTCCATGCACTACATATATGGGGGAATTTTAGCTGTATTTGATGCACTCTGGAGCAAAACGACGAGAAATAAGTTTGTGACTGAGACTAAAGCAGAGCAGAACAGGAGCAACGGAAAGCAACTGAAAGTTTCACCAACATGTTTCATACAGAAAAGAATTAAACCATAAGTTAACATGCTCTGAATTAAAACAATAGTAACCAGACCCTTAAAAAAAGGTATTGGGAAACATGATGCTATCACATATACTTAACATTCTGCATGAAGCCTGCAGACAACAATGTGCATCTCTGCACTTTTTTTACATTTCATATTCCATCTCTTTTGTCCTGTCCACCAGCTGGCTGTAGCTACTGGCTTTTTGAAATCACAGGAAAACAAAATTATTAATTCCATTCATTTAAAACAATAGTGAAAATGGGCAAGATTGTGGCCTCTTTCACTGTGCTTGTCTGTTTGTATTACAGTGGGTATAATATATCTGCACGGTCCTGGAATTCAGCCCCTCAGACTGACCGTGCTGTTCATATTGTGAATGGAGAAAAATGGGTTAGAGTGAAGACTTGAATTGCAAAGTGATTTAGGTAGCTGCTTCTTATGGCTCATTTGTGTATTAGCCCTTAGCTGTTAGCCATGGCATCCAGCTGAGACCTGGTAAAGAAATGCCAAGCATTTCTAACAAACCAAAATACACTAGTGTAAATGCTCAAGGAAGGCTTGAAACCAGCAAAAGCGAGGTCTTGTCCTTAAGTTCCACGGACACTCGTGCAGTCAGGTAGAAGTTGCTCCTTACTACCTCCGACCACAGAATTAACACAGGAGCTCTGGGTAGGTGCTTCTGGTATGTAGTAGCATCTCACCAGAGAAGACAAATTTTGCATGTTAGTAGTATGGCATAGCAAAGACAGCTGTCCTGGGTATCACTCTACCAAATGGAAGTCTGTACACTGATGAAATTAGGAGTATTTCAGTACCTATTTCTGCGTTGAGGACATGTCATCTGGTCTCCTAGTGAGCACAGTCCTCAGGGAGGAGATTTACTGGTGGGAATGGAGACCCAAATGAATGCTCTGCCTCCATGCCAAAATAGCTCATTACGATCCAGAGCAATCTTGCATGTAGTCAGGGCATGTGGACATGAAGATCATTTGCTTTAAAAAAACCCATTTTGTAAAATGCACCTCTTAAATAAATCTTGAAATCTTTACCTGTTTCATCTCACTGGAATTCACTGGAAAACATGTGCATAAACACAGTAAAATATCATAAAAATCACAGTGCTAAAATAATGTTGTTCACCTTTCTAACAATGCTTCATTTGTATGTTACATCATTTGTACCTTTTTCAGTGGGAATCTCCTCTCTATGGCTATCTTCAAACAATCCACTGCACCAATGAAAATAAAGACCTATGCTTAGTATTTGTTTTTTAAATGAAGGTGTCATTTCAAAGGCTAGACAAGTTATTACAGTGGTTAATCAAGCCTCCTTAGCCTTTGTAAAGTGGGCAGCATAGCAGTTTGACTCAAATGTCAACCTCTGAACAAATTTAAGAGACAAGAAAACAGACAAAAAAAATCTATACAGGCATAATATAATATATATATTACTTTAACTGAGGCAATGAGAGCTGAAGCAGACATATAATGCGTTTCCTCTAAAGCAGTAGCATAGCAGTGAAAACAAAGAAAAGGAGAAAAGGCATTTAAAAAACCCCAAAAAGTGAGATATACTGAGGCAATAACAAGTGGGAGGAAATAACATAGTGTTAGGCTTATATTTGATAGACATAAAACCTGAAAATGCTGTGCTGCACCTGAGGTATGCTGTGCAGGGTAATTGAAATGAATCTTGGGCTGCCTTGAAGGACATTTAGCAGCTGTTCCTGTTTATCTTTCAGTTTCAGAGTGATATTAAAAGCAATTTTTTATTTTCCTGGGAAGATCAATTCTGGCAACTTTGCCTTTAAAATGTGCATTTTTCTGTCACATGTGCTAAATGCAAGAAATTGGAGAATGACTTCTGTGTTAAATATTACAGATCTCCAGTGTACCATGCAAGGAATTCAGGTGGTGTGGGACATTTGGCAAAATTATATCAGAAGCAATGAAATTCTCAGGATTGCTAATGTCTCCTTCTTACAAAAGCAATGAATCTGGTCTGCAGCTGACATATAAAAACTGAACATGAAACCCAAATAATGTAATTCCAGCTTGGAAAGATCAAAAGAAGAGTAGTTTATGTGTCAACTAAATACTATCTCACAATTTATCTTTATACAGCTCCTTCTAACAGAATGTTGCAAAACACTTTATAGGGATGGTTGAAAGCAAAAGGCAGGCATTAACACAAGCTTTAAAAGAAATTAAGCTGTGGTTATGTGGTTTTGTTCCTGACTGGAGCTCAGATGTCACAGATGCATTTTTTGGCTTTGTTCTACAGCTCCTGTGGGATTTTGGGTGAATCGTCCTCTTTTCACATCACTTTTAAAGACATCTTTGTCTTTAAAATTGAATTCTGCCTTCTCTTGTGGTTTCCTCTCCTGCTGCCTTATCTCTCTGGTTTATGAGTGATCCAACCTGGAGACTATCTGGAAAATATAAATACTGTGCATGCAAGACTGAGACTCCAACCCATATCTTACACTATAATCATAATTACTGTAGCAAAAGACTCATGATTTTTGAGCAGGGGAGGATGTGTCGCTGTGGAAGAGGAACATAAACGTACAGCAAATTATGCAAGGGATTTAAATGGTATGGAATGGACGTTGGATCAGGCTTCAAAACTAATTGAGAAATATACTGCTGCTGAGAGCAACAAGACAGACTACAGTGAGGGACACTGAAATGGACAGAAAAAGCGAAACTGAAAAAACAAAACCAAACCAAAGCATTAAACTGGTAGAAGAGGAATATAACATATTTCATGCCAAGGTGACAGCTTGGTGCTCTTCACATTCGTGCAAGAGGGATGGACTACAAACAGGAGAAACATATTACAACAATGGGGCTGAAAAAGTTGTAGACAATAAGAATATAGAAACCTTTTGGGATTTTTCAGTCACTCTTATTGAAACAGAAGCCAAAAGAACAGATTTGGCAGTAGTAGAAAAGGAGAAAGAAGAATATTTTCCTGTGAACTTTTGTATGTAGTGAGAATGTTCAGCTAACTGAAAAAAAAGTAGGATCACTGACTGCAAATTTACAGTCAATGGGTTCACAAGCTGCAAAACCACTTACTGGAGGTGCAGTGGGATTTCCTGTCAGGGATATTAAAATAGTATTGCGTACACTGGGAACTGATGACTCTGGGTATTTCAACAATTCTCCTCGGCACCTCTAAAATCCTGAGAAAACTCACAATATTCCACACTTGTCAGTTCTTCATATAGATTACAACTGCATTGACAAGTGGTAATGCTCCCCCACTCCCTATCTCCTGCCAAGATTGACAGCTGTGGATGGAATGAATAATGATTATGATGATAATGGTCATAAAGAAAGGGATTAATGAACTTGGAGATGTGTTTTGGAAAACAGGGATGAAGAGAATCTGGAAGATGTGTTGGCATGGATAAGGATAAAACAACTCTAGGTACAGGTGACTAGCTTCAAGAAGACAGATCACCACTGGCATTTTTGTTAAGGTATGACTTACGATGCCTAAGGAATGTCCACTGCA